TGTGCCACCATGTGAGAGGATCACCTTGGAGAGGTCCCAGAAACCGCGTTCAGCCTTTAGGCCATATTTATGGCCTGGCTATACCGCGGCCCCTGGCAAAAGGCAGAGTAGGGCTTTATATAACGAAAATTTCGTCCTAAAAAGGACGAAAAGTATGATATAAAAAAGTAAGCTATGTCCACAACACACAAATAATCCAAAGATTCATATATTAGCAGAAATCGATAAAGATGACCAACCTGATTTGAGATCACGTGATGACCTAGTCTTTATAGTGCATAGTCTTCATAGTGCATAGCCTTCATAGTGCATAGCCTTCATAGTGTATAGTCTTCATAGTGCATAGCCTTCATAGTGCATACACTTTATAGTGCATACGCTTCATAGTGCATACATTTCATAGTACATACACTTCATAGTGCATACACTTCATAGTACATACACTTCATAGTGCATACACTTCATAGTACATACACTTCATAGTACATACACTTCATAGTAATTACACTTCATAGTGCATACACTTCATAGTACATACATTTCATAGTACATACACTTCATAGTGCATACACTTCATAGTACATACATTTCATAGTACATACACTTCATAGTACATACACTTCATAGTACATACACTTCATAGTGCATACACTTCATAGTGCACACACTTCATAGTGCATACACTTCATAGTTCTTTGCCGAATCAACCTCTGCGTTTCTTTCAGAAGTTTTGTGTCCTGATGTAGCCACCTCGTGTTATACTTCCCATTGGTGACACGCTCTGTTCTAAAGCCTTATTCGGTCTTTCTTTCTTTCTTTCTTTCTTTCTTTCTTTCTTTCTTTCTTTCTTTCTTTCTTTCTTTCTTTCTTTCTTTCTTTCTTTCTTTCTTTCTTTCTTTCTTTCTTTCTTTCTTTCTTTCTTTCTTTCTTTCTTTCTTTCTTTCTTTCTTTCTTTCTTTCTTTATTTATTTATTTATTCTCATTTCCTTTCTGATTTCCCTCCTCCATACAACACGGTCCTTGACAGTGTGTCCCCACGTAATCTACCTCTATGTATGTGTAATTCACATTCATCATGCAGCGTCTTTATATCAAAGTAGAGACCTGTCTTGACATCTTCTAGTCATCTCTAATTCAGCAGAGAGGATGTCCAAAGGGACTGTATCCTCCTGCAATCTCCAAATGCAACTTTGTTTTTTCATTCAGCAGTTTGTCATTGCCCGCTGACGGATCGGCGCTCCCTGCTGTTACCGAAATCAAAGCAAAGCAGTCTGTTGCTAAGTGCTCTGCAGCTGAGTTGGAACGTCTAAGCCACCGACGCATAATAAAGTAAAAATATTCGCATCATGCACATTTTTACTGTCGTCAGCGTTATCATCATTATCGCCTCACAACATCGCCACTCAGCGTCTCATTATCGCCACACAACATCGCATTTTCGCCACTCAACATCTGATTGTTGCCACTCAACATCGCATTTTCGCCACTCAACATCGCATTTTTGCCACTCAACATCGCATTTTCGCCACTCATGGTCGTCATTATCAGTATTATCACGACTCCCATCATGGTCGTCATTATCAGTATTATCACGACTCCCATCATGGTCGTCATTATCAGTATTATCACGACTCCCATCATGGTCGTCATCTTTAGCAAATCGCCACTGGTACAGCTGACACTAGGACGTTTTCCCCTCCACTCAGTGGCGTAGTGACTAGACTCTAGCCTGCAGGCAATATGCCTTTTGGTTGGAATCCCTGTTTCGTCGTATGTTTCCTTTTAGAAATGACTTTGGCTCCTAACTCAGTCCAGCCTAAAATGGTTAGATTCCTGGGAAGTAAAGGTGGTTAAGTAAATACTAACCATATCGTCTGCCAAGTGGCCAGGTGCTCTATAAAATGTATGACTAGCACTATATCTCCACAATACCACAAGGACAGAGTAATTTTGTGTTCAAAGGGACATAACAGACATAAATTTGTAAATAAGCAATCTTTAATTCCCCTTAATTGAAATGGAAAGCAGTGTCCCCCTTTCAGCTGAATTAACAAAGGAAAAGTCTCATGTGCACGCCCGAAGTCGTTGGTTGCGTGGTGCTGGTCCAATATTTGATCAGTCGGATCTGTTTGTAACTGTTGCTTCCGTCAATGATGAACTGTATTTCTAATGTCGTAATGTTTGTGTTAGCACGTATGATAGCTGCCTTATGTTTATGTAATCCAGTTTCGTCCTTTTTAGGACGAAATTTTTTGTTATTTGAAGCTCCACCCTGGCTTTTGCCAGGGGCCGCAATTCCTTGAGCTCTCTTTGCTTGCGTCTTGAAGTCAGTCGAGGAGAGCTGTCTTTTGACACGGTCCAGCAGTAATCAGCAAGCATTGAAGGGCTCCAATTGCCTTGATACCTTATCTCCAAGGGGGCAACGTCCTGATGAGATCGTTCAGCATGCTTACCACTGAAAGCCAGCTCCCCAGTTTGGCGTAAAGAAATCCAGAAGAGAATGAAGAAAATGAATTTTCAATGTTGAAGCCAATACGCTCATACTTCATTGCAAACATCAGATCTGTTGTTTGCAAGGAATTCTCAACCACTTAGTTAAATGCTAGCCATGCTGATTTTTCCCTGCCGTGCAACACGCAAAGAAACTTCTCATCGTAAAGATGTTTTCGAATTTGCTGACCAACAAATACTGCCTCTCTTATTTTAGTTTCACTCAGTCTTGGAAATCTTTTAATGAGATATTAGAAATCCTATGTTTTCTTCATGAGAACCAGCCTAATGTGTCGACAACTGCTGTGTTTTCGACCTTCTTACCGACAGACTGCAATGACAGCCTGTTTGGCAACTGTCTTTTGTTGCAATGTCGTGCACAGTTATCCCCCTCACAGAGAAAGCAGCAGTATTTGGTGTATCTACTCGGCCCTAATTAAGTTAACTAGTAGCCTATATCTTGAAAACTAGAGCCAGTCAGTATGTCACCAGGATGAGTGGATACCTTTGATATGTCCTCTGCTGTTAGCAAGAGTATCACAAAGCTGGGCACTCACTGCTCCTGGTCATTGGTAGAGCTAGACCCGTGTTAGCGCAGTCGATAGGAGGTTCGCTTTCAAATCCAGCTGCGACTCGCTGCAACCACGGTCGGTGTTCGAAACCGGGCGGTTCCCGGGGTTTACCCAGCCTCTCGGAAATGGGTACCAGAGTGACACTCTGAGGTAAATGTAGGAACGTCGCTGTAGCTACAGAGTTACGTGCGGACGACGACACAGGCGGACAGTTTCTTATCAGCGTTCAGTACTGGTGGCAGAGAACTTATAGTTTATAACCGTGTGCAATGACGATGGTTCACTTCTCCCGACTTTACTTTAACCTTTATTGGTAGAGCTGGGCATAAAGTCAACAGCCACGTCGATGTGGACAGAAAGAGTAAAATCACTGCATTACTATCACAACAAACGTAAGCATGAAAGTCCAAACGTTTAGAACATGTCATCTTTCATGTAGCAACATACGGATGTGAGTCGTAGCAAGGTCACAATCGTTAAGGGAGACAATGGCGGCTTTTGAGCTGAAATGCGATATAAAGATGATCAGAATATCATGGAGCAGGAAGACCTGAAATAATGACATGCTCGCGATCTGAACATCAAGAAAAATTGGCTTGTAAACAGCATCTTGACTCAGAAATATTAATATTGTGGCATTTCAAGCTCCATAGCGGAGTGGACAAAACTGTAATGATGATGATGATGAAAAGGATGGTTAGTTGATATATTGTGACGTTGATCACCATGTCTAGCCGCAGGCTTCTCCTCCCCCTCAGACGTGCCAGCACAAAGAAAATATTGGGGAGGCTCACTCCTCTTAGAATTCTCTGAGGGGGAAGGGGGGGGGGAGGAGCGGAAGTCTCTACTTTAAAAGAAAAAACGTCTGTTTGTGGTTTAAGGGAACAGTTTACTCTGCCTGCAACACGGAGAGAGGGGAAGTGCTGCTTGTTGACTGTCATTCAAGATACCTGAGACTCCATTTTCCCGATGGACCTGGTCTGGTATCCCGATCAAATGTAGTGCCAGTCATTTATGGCATTGATGCTCTTCCATACCTTAAATACGGGAATGACAAGCGAAATTCTTCTCTTTGCAAATCATATGAAATTGTCTTGACAATTCTTAAAATATCCTATGAGTACTCTAACAATTCATTGGCAGATAATGAAACAACATGTGAAATGAGATGTTTAACGAAAGCGGCGGAAAAAAACAAAGAAAAACAGTCACGAATCAAAAAAAAGATCAATAGCAGGCACAGTAGCGTCACTGATTTCATCGAATATTGAAGAATCAGAGGGTACTACAGGAAAACAGCAGACCATAAGGCAAGAGGCCGACCAAGAAAAATGTAGGTCGAGGGGGTAAAAGCGACACTGTCAAAAAGCAATATGATATCAACACAAGCTACCCAACAAGCAAAACACAGGAAATCTCCACATAACTCTGCGACGTGTTAGGGCATGAAAAGGGTGACAAAAGAAGAAGAGGAAGAAGATTCACAGATAATACGAAACTACGGCTCGTTTTCATTTAAAGAGGTTTACACCGAAGAGCACTATGGGATTCACGATGACGTCATGATGGCGGATCCGGCGGTGTCACCGCCACAGCGCAGTCTCGTTATAAACTTGTGTCTATACTGTGTTCTAGTTTTAAAAAATATTTATTGCCTGACAACTAGGTAGAATTCACGCCACATTTCCTTTGCTTGAACTGGTATCTATCGTGAGTTCGTGTTTGAAGAAGTACTTATAAATTAGGAGGTGTCTATAAGTCAGCGCCACAGTCCAGTTTCACTTGTGTCCAACTTGGATTTCAATTTAAAGAAACCTTTATATTCAACGAGATGTCTACGGCCAAAGCCATAGTCCAGTTTCCGGAACTTGTGTCCATACTGGGTTTCAGTTTGATTAAGAATGTGTAGAGTATGAAGCGGTTACGGCAGTGCTGGCTATGTCGTTCAGAGATTCCGAAACAATATTTGACGATGATCCTTGTATCAAGGTTAGGCGATAATAATAGAACAATAGAGTTTCATTTGAAGAAATGAATGAAGGAAGAGACGCCTGCAGGAATGGGTGGATTCATCAATACATCAATAAGTAATTTAACGAGTGCAGGAAAGGACGAGTGTGTGCTTGAAAGAAAGAAAGAAAGAAAGAAAGAAAGACACAGACAGAAAGACACAGACAGACAAAAAGAAAGAAAGAAAGAAAGAAAGCAGATGACAGATGAATGACTGGAAAAAAAAAGATAGGAAAGATAGATGACAAATGAGTGATAGAAAGGAAGAAATGGATGAATGAATTAATCTGTGAGCTCCGGCACAAAGTCCTGGTTGTTCACCGGCTGTAAGCTCCGGTAGAAAGTCCTGGTTGTTCGTCCATTTTAACTTTGGTTTGTGCCAGGCCAGAGTTGTGCGTGCACATCCGTTTTACCGGTTTGTGTGCAGCTGGTTGTTCCATGTCATTGGACAGATGCACTCAGACTTGGAAGGAAGCTCCCCATTAATCGACCCCTACGACATGCTTGTTGCGGAGACAGCAGGTCTATTCTTGCCTCCCCCCCCCCCCCACCAATGGGACCCGGAACCCTGACGGGGGTAAAAAGGCCTTGATAATATTTACCTTGTTATGCAACTATTGATTACTAAGTGGTGCAGAATTAGCCAGTTGCCTTGCTGTTTATTTCCTTACACATCTTCCTGCTCATGGGAAAACATATCCAAAGGATGTTAACTACCCAGGATCTCTGAAGCGATGTTTAAGTATCGTCCCGACCATTTGCTCGCTTCCGGCTGAAACAGATTGACCGTGATAGTCTCTTCATCTCGCTGCTGTGCGTACTAGACTCTCAGCTTGGAAAGTAACTACAACTTACCTTGTAGAAATATCGTCTGAGATTGATGCTTCGCGAATAAGATCACTGTTCTATCCACCCCCACCCCCCTATTTTTTTTTTTTTTTACCCCCACCCCTTTTCAAGAAAACCGTTACAGATTTACAAAGCTTGCCGAGAAAGATGGGGAAAAAAAAAGCAGGTTCTGTGCAGAAGCACAAGCAATTGCACCAGAGGTCGCCAGTAGGAAGCGTTCCTTTAATCTTTTCTCCGCGGCATACAGGTGAACAGTACGAACGGCCTAAAAAAATCATTACGGTCTGCAGTGAATGGCGCAGAGGGGAGTGATTATTGGCTGTGACCGACACTCAACACTCAGAGGAAAGACTCCGACTGTTACTTGTATCGTCGGCACTGGAACACTTCGCTGGCCGCAGAAAATTCGGCCATGACGCTCGCGGGTATGTCTCGAGTGTTGTGATGTCGGTTCTTATCTCTTCAGACCGTGATGATTTAATTATGCCTCCGCACTGTTCACTCGCTTCTTGGCCACTTACAGCTTGGCATGCATCTGCTTATATAGATTTAAAGGTATCGTTAGAAAACAAGAATTAAAATGATTCAGCCATGTAACTCTACTGTCATTAGATGGCATACCGAAATTAGCATTGATGCACAAAACATTTTAAGAATCCCAAGCATGGAAATGATGACGACAAGTATACATGGGACCCCCCCCCCCCCCGGGACCCCCTCCCCCACCTCCCAAACACACACACAAGCCCTCTACCCAGTCCTTTTCCGCCCAGGATTGCCGGTCACGACGGGCCAGCCTGGCCATTTTGGGTGACTAAATAATACGTTGAACGTTGGGCATTGAACGGGGTATTTGGGTTTTCCGTGTTGCTCTACGGTCAGCACTGCGATTCTTTAGTTTTGTTGAGTTAAACCTTCAGGTCCTGTTGATCAAGCATCCAGACGGACATCTTGTGATCCCACAGTGTCACGTGGCCACCCAAAGAGAATCAACGTCTCGTCTGCACTTTCCCGCTGTTGAAACTTCACCTTGACTCATCAGGGTTTACAGGGATCAATGTGGGATCAATCAAATTGAACCCCACTAGGACCGAACCCTAAGCGACCAACACCGTGCGACGCAAAAATGCAAAGCGTCATTACTCGGACGAGTGAGAATCCCCCAGTGGGTCCCACAAACCCGTTCAACCCCTGGGATTATATTAGGACCCCCTAGGGCTAGGAAGTAACCTCAAAACCAGACAGGTTGGCTGAAATGTTTAAAAATGTGATCCCGTGTCGGGATGAGGTCGACTCGACAAGGTTGGATTTCTGAATGTCGTCCACACACTGTTTAAAATATTAACCGTGCGTCTGTGCTAAAGTTGCTCACAACAGTCAGATGAAGTGTTAACTGATGTGTTCCTTGATGCAGGAGTACCTGCTGACCAAAAAGTGTATGGGGGAGAAAGGCCACGAGCACTGTCAAGATGTCTTGAGGAATTACGAACACTGCCGATACTTTTGGGTACGTAGTCCGAATTAAAAGTCACAAAATAAAATACAAGTAACAAATAAAAGTAAAATATAAGAATAAAAGGTCATTCTGCTCGTCTTCAGGTTCCTGCGATGTGCGGTATCCATGTAGCACATTATATATTTACGTATTTGGTAAACCAGTTGACTGAACGGTTAAAGATACAGGAGCCCGGGTTTAAATCCTTTGTAAGGTTAAGGTTGTGGATTTTTAAAAACAAATATGTCGGGAGCAAAAATAAAACTCTAACGTGCACAGTCCATAGTGACAGCACTAGCCAAGCGAGTCTAAATTAGTAATGACAGTAAAATGGCAATTAATACCATTTATTTTATTATAAATATCTTATTGTTTTATGCCATTCCGTACATTATTACTATTATTGTGCACCTAAATAAGGCTTTGCTTCCTTGGTCCAAAACAAACTTGTGAGCGTGCCTGTGTCTGTGCCTTTGGTACCATATCCTAAAGTTTAGCAAACACAGATAGTAAAGTCAGTGATGAGCCTTAACATAAATGTTTCCTTTGCCGTTTTCAGTCGTGGATCGAGTCCATGCGAGACCAGGAAGGCATCAAACCAGCCATGCCACCCCCAGAGGAGCGAGAGGAGGTCAAACAAAGATATCTGCCCTTGCTGAAGCCTCCATCGCCGCGTTTACCTTGAGAGATGACAAGAGTTAACTTTGCGTCACAGAGCCTCCATCGCCGCGTTTACCTTGAGAGATGACAAGAGTTAACTTTGCGTCACAGAGCCTCCATTGCCGCGTTTACCTTGAGAGATGACAAGAGTTAACTTTGCGTCACAGAGCCTCCATCGCCGCGTTTACCTTGAGAGATGACAAGAGTTAACTTTGCGTCACAGAGCCTCCATCGCCGCGTTTACCTTGAGAGATGACAAGAGTTAACTTTGCGTCACAGAGCCTCCATCGCCGCGTTTACCTTGAGAGATGACAAGAGTTAACTTTGCGTCACAGAGCCTCCATCGCCGCGTTTACCTTGAGAGATGACAAGAGTTAACTTTGCGTCACAGAGCAACACACTGTTTCTGTCAGCCATTCGTCATCAACACAGATGGCTCTAAACCTTCGTAATGTCTGGACACTTTAATACAGTTCCCCATGTTGTTGTGACCCCTCCTATACAATTATTTTCGTTGCTACTTGATAACTGTAATTTTGCTCCTAATGTAAATATCTTGTATGCAGGATGTATTTTCATTGTTACACATTGAACATAATTAAAGCATAGTGATTAATCACACACAAAATAATTTGCAATTATATGTTGTGAAATATTTATCTTTAATTACCCCCCCCCCCCCCCCCCCCCCCACAAACTTTTGTCTTGAAGCATGGGTAACAGTCTTAATACAACAACAGTAACCACATTTCTACATTTTGCGACAGTATGCAAAAATAAAAGCCACTGTCCGTGGAGCGATTTAAATTGCTTCTTTCTCACCAGATCATGATCAGCAATTCTCATCTTCCACAAGTTTACTTCTGTATTTAGACTTGACAACCAACAAGCCGAAAACTAGAGTCATGTTGTTGGAAATGGAAGAAGACGCAACACAGTCTCAGACAGAACACGATCCAGAATTGTCTGACTGGCATTGTAGAGAAAACAGTTCTCGCTGCATCGTTGTTAACAAGTTCAATGAACTCCTCTGGTGCTGTCTTAAGAACATCTTCAACTTTGTGAACAGGCTTCTGGCAAGTGCAAGTGGGGTGTAAAGTAGATTTGGAAAGTACAATGAAAATTCGTCGGCAAGCATCTGCAAGTGTTCCTTCACAGAAATGATCATCGTAACCCTTTGTCTGGTTCAGTGACATGTTCCTCGAAGAAAGCAGATATGGTAGGGAAAAAAAATGTGTGTGTGTTGTCCATGAAGATGATGCTGACGACTCTTTTTCATCAAGAATGAGTATGACGATGACTGATGAGGCCGATGCAGGCCTGAAAAGTTCTTGAACATTGAGGACAGGGAATGAGCGTTGTGACAGGGAGGGGATCTCCTGCAGTCGCCTTTCTGTAGAGAAAATGTACATTTTATTTTTATCCCTTTTTTTTTTTCAATGCTGAAGTGTCATTTGGAATGATCAGATCTTTTCAGACAGACAGAGGCATGTTCATTTGGTCCTTGCTGTGATAAATTCAACTCATTCAAGATTGCAAAGATGTCAACCAAGTAAGCTATTTTGTGATGTTTACTTTTGCTGCAGGAAAGTGCTTCAAACTGCGGTCGTGCCTTCTGATTAATAAACAAAAAATAACTGAGTTCATCATGAAGCTCAAAAACACGTTTTAAAACTGTTCCTCTCGACAACCATCTCACATCAGCGTGAAATAACCGAGCATTGTTTGGCGCATCTAACTCGTTGCACTGTAGCGAAAACGGTCGACTGTTTAAACTGCTCGCCTTTAGAAAACTGACACAACGTATGACCCTTTTCATGACTACTTGTAACTCTCGTAGCAGTGTTTACGTTGTGAATATTTGCCGATAAATCATACAGTGAGTTTCGATGACTGTTGGTGACTCATTTCTTCTTCTTCTGCGTTCATCCGAAGATGTAATTGCTGCGATATTTGCACCTTTCAGCCAACACATCCGACTTCTGCGGGCATTTGTTGACCGGGTTAGCCTTCCCGGTTGGTGACTCATTTAGTACCAGATAATAAAACCTAGATCGACATCCTAGCATAGCCGCAGCACCATCTGAGCAAACACCACAAACCTTGTCCCGAGAGATCTTGTGCTCTTTCTAAAATGAACCAACTGTGTCAAATACATCACATGCAGTAGTAGTTGTTATTTCATGAAGTTGAGACACACCCCCCTACCCCCCCCCCCCCCCCCCACAATCAGTCTTTAAAGCCATCATTTATAAACCTCAGGTAAACCAGTAATTGTGAACAGTTTGCAATATCCGTGAGTCATCAAGCTTGATTCTAAATATTAGAAGTAGGGCTGCTTGAATTTCCTGGATTACCCTATCAAGAATATTAGCAGATATGTCATGTATTCTTCCGCGGACATTGTCGTAGCTAGGTTATGTTTGTGGTACTTGTCAACAGTGTCAAATCTGGCTTTCTTGAGTCAATCAGCTTTACTACTAAAACAGTTAGTATCCTTGTCAGCAAAATGCTGGCTGTCAAAATGACGTTTTAGTTTGTTGGGTTTCATAGATTCTTCTAAAAGAACTTCACAACAAATACTACGTGGGAATTTCACAATTCCCGCTGTAATTGTTGAGGTAAAACGATACCGTAAAAAATTCTCACTATATTTACTTTGCTCAACCTCTTCTCTACACGATCCTTTGTTATGGGGTGGTTTGCTGACGAAAATAATGTTAACAAGAGCTTTGGTGATACGTGGCACAGTTCTGTCAATACAGTTCATTTAAATTTCTGCTGATTTATCATTTCTCACACCTCAACCTCAGCTGAATGTAAAAAGACCAATCAGCATCCAGATTGAGTTCCCGTGGTACAATTACAAATCTGCCTGATTTTATTTATAATGTCCACATTTTATTTAGTTTTGGTTTGTAAAAGATCACTTTCTTGGAACACACAAGAAGACAGTATAACAGCTCCAGTATTTCCAAATCAGTGGTTTATCATTTGCTCTTGTACCAGAAATTGTCACATAAACACAGAGAAATTGGCTTCAGGTTAGGATAATATCTGGCATGAGTAACACAGGAAAACAGAAAGATGTATGTGAAAACACTTAAAACAACTAGGCAACAGAAGAGAATATAAGACACCACATGACAGAGAAGATTGGAGAGTCATGATAGCTAAAAATCTTTCAAACTGAACACCCTGAAGAAGCAGAAGGTCACACCTGGCTGATTTAAACAGCAGTGTTTGACTTGTCTACAAACCAAATGTACAAAGACATAAAAATAGGTTGCACAATTTATTGCCTGGTATATTTCGCTGTATCTCGTCAGGTGCATACTACAGTAACAATTACATAAATAAAGCGGTGTAAAAAATTTGGCTACTACAGAAATTTCAGTCCCCAAACAACAAGTCTACATCCATCTAACTTATTGAGGGAATGACATTATGAAACAGCTATACGACGGGCTCAAAACAGCTGTCAGCCAATTATCAGGTTTAAACCCCATGCCAACGCCCTCAGTGAAACAACCAGTGCCGATGTATGCCAAATCAAATTGTATCTACCAATTTAAATGTAGCTGTGAAGTTGCTTATGTGGGCAGAAATGATCGACATCTGGAGAAACAAATCGCTCAGCACATTCCAGTATGGGTGGGAAAAGCCATACAAAATGAGAATACTGGCCGCAAAGATCACCCCTCTGCAATAGCATACAGAATTGATTAGATCAACCAACTATGCTGGAGACTAAAGCCACAACTGATGTTTCAGAATTGATCAGATCAACCAACTATGCTACAGACTAAAGCCACAAGTGATGTTTCAGAATTGATCACATCAACCAACTATGCTACAGACTAAAGCCACAATTGAAGTTTCAGAACTGATCAGATCAACCAACTATGCTAGAGACTAAAGCCACAATTGATGTTCCAGAACTGATCAGGTCAACCAACTATGCAAGAGACATAAGCCACATTCGATGATTCAGGACAGATCTGATTAAACTACAACCTAGTCATGAGGACAACATCTTCACGCTGGAAGCATCAACTCAAAATAGCTACACTCATATATCCATAGGAAAAATCTGTCACCCGTTAACTGATATCATATATCCATACAGAATATTTGTAATTTGTTCTACTGATGATATTCCCATTTGTTCCTGCTGACCAACCAGAATCATTTCTTTCAGTGTGCCTTTTCTACCTTTGATCGTTTCAGTCGTGATGATGCTTGCAAATACATCTTTTCTCCTCACACAAACATAAAACAATCTTTCTTATAGTTATGCATAATGTTCTACTTTCCTGAGCATTTGCCCACACAATTCTTACTTCTCTAGGATTCTAACGACTGATATTGTCTTTGATAAAACATGTCCAAACACTTCTTAGGCCACACACATTCACACTACTCCAAGATTCATTTCCATACATCAGAAAATGGTAAACATGTCTTGATATCTACATTCTCATATTTAATGAAACAGGCAGACAGATTGGCTGGATCTGTACCACTGAGTGGTGAACTGATACATGACAAGGCAAATGTGGTCAAGGCCCAATGGGAACAAGCAACGAAATCAGTAGAGAAACAAGATTATTATGGCCTGGAGAGAATGAGGCGCCTGGGTGTAACCAGGGGGTCTGGCCGGCTGACTACACTCAGAGGAAAGGCCAGACGGACTTTTAACCAGATTGTGACCAGTACCATAAGTATTTGAACTGCCCTGGCTGCTGAAGATGAGGACGGAGCATGCATGGGAATGCCCCAAGTGCTGTGATGTCAATTCTTAACTCAACTCATACTTAATGAAAGTGACTGGTTCCACACAACACCTGGTGGTTCTGGAGGTGCAGCCTGAAGAATGTATCTGTCAGATCAACCGACTGATCAGTTTGTCATCTCTGGGCTGCTACCTTAAGGTTCACACTACCATCCTGGGATTTCAAAAATCATAATCTGGGATGACAGACCTACAAAGCAGTTCCAAGAGACCCTGTTCAACCTTTACAAAAATTATGATTAGGGCACCTGTAAAGGTACACCAGCCTGGTGTACACTGCAGCCCTATGTGTGTAAGGACCAGGACAGATCCGAACATTTCATTGAGGACACAGGATGTTTGGGTTGTCAACACAGAACCGATGTAACTGGTCACTTTATTGTTGTGGAGCTACCAAGGTGATCATGGCACCTTGGATATGCCCATAGTACTGTGATAGTGGTACTCCCTATTTACTAGTCGCCTGTTACACTGTGAAATACAACTTTTGATTGACCTATCTCCTCATGATAGAGCATTATATATAATTTTTTTTTAAACCAATGTATTGATCTACACTCACAGAAAGATAGAAGGATATAGACAACATAAAAATCGAAAGCTGCAGCTGACTGAAGAGCAACAGATAAAATATTTAGGACATCTGGTGAGACTGCACTGGTACCAACTACCAGAGCCATGCTGAAGAAATATGAACACAGATCAAAAGAAAGACCATGCAAAAGATGGAATTACACCATCAAGAACAGCCTTAAATTTCATAAGATAAACATATGCAATGTACTAGAAAGAGCACATAGAAGATCTTTACATCTACTCCCAAAACTCTGAAGAGGTAGCTCAAATAAGAACCATCGATGTGCTGTATGGATGACAGAAATGCCCAAGGAACGCCTGATATCCAAGCGTCTGTTCCTTGATTTCCAAAACATAATGTGCTCTTTTACCATTAAAATTAAATAAGAACACACTGAAGAAATCTGGCTGCCCCATGGTTACAGCCACTGTGCATATTGCCACTTTGGAAGCACTGAATTCTTGCTTTTCCTTCCTGGTCATTTTTTCTTTCTTATCTCTGGTACTAAAATAGTTTAATATAAGCACACCATTTGCAGCAACATGGTCAACAACAACAAAGCTTCACATTTACTATCTGGCACACATAAAATGTTACTTACTGATTAGATTTATAATATTTATAGCACCAAACCCGTTTTTCTCATAATGCACGCCACAGTAAATATACATATATATATAGCACAATGAAGAGTACTGTTTATACACATATATTTACTCTAAAAAGCTATATAGGTTCTTAGCACTTTTCTTATTCCTTACGTCCTTCTTAGGACGTTATTTTTTGTTATTTGAAGCCCCACTCTGGCTTTTGCCAGGGGCCGCAATATAGGCAGGTCATCATTATGGCCAAATGTCTGAACGCGGTTTCTGGGACCTCTCCACGGTGATCCTCATCCGCATGGTGGCACTTTGTGCCATCGGGTGTTTATCGCTTGTGTGATGTCCTTGTGGGGTAGAAAGTCAGTCAGTCAGTCAGCACTTTTCCTTACTTGGTCAATTTACAGACACCAGGAGAAATGGTTGAATAGCTTTCACTTACAAGAAGTATACTTGACACGAAGTAGAAGGCAAGATTACCAGCACTGAAGCATTGGAGACAGCAGGTACCACAATGCACAGTCTTTGGAAGCTTAGATACACTTGAAGGAAGGCAAAGGACCGTCTTCCTTGCCTTTAGGTGTACCGGGCATATTGGGCTAGACCTATATTTTATAGACGAATCAGCACTTGGTGGGTGATGTGGTCAACACTTTACGACCCAGGACTGGTACCTGGTACCCACCCAGTTGGAGGAAGAAGGATACTAGAATCGCTAAGAACTCTTTTATGGTGAATTACTGATGGGCAGGTCAAGGTTAACTCCTACTACAATATAAAGATGTGCGCAAGGGGGACATGAATGATACAGCCAGTGAGGTGGATTTGTGGGAATAGGATGCCATGAAGTGAGCTTCAAGGAGGAGAGAACATCACAAAAAGGAACAGAGATCAAGGAAATAATGATCACAAACAGGTTCAGAGCTGAGCGTCTGAGAATACGTGTGTATGGCAACAAAAATCCTGACATCCCAGGCTCTAGCTGTGGAAGACTTTTTTCAATACAAATCGGTCTTAATAGCCACAATTGCCATCCCCATGGGCTATGAATCCTACAGCCCAAAATAAGACTTTCCTCTGGAAACTGAGTGTATAAGGATTACTTTTTCTGAGCAAGGGGGCAGCATGTGCATTCAGGCAGTGTTTTTGTTTTGTTTACTAAGACTTTTGTCGTGGTGGTGGGTACACTTTGCAATCTGTAACGGTGAATGATTGGGTTTCAACTGGCCTCCCTTCCCTAACAATTGTATCATTTATGTAATACAATAAAACTGATAGCAAAGGTTATACAAATCAGTGAATCAGCTGCACTGTCAGTTGAAAAGCTGACATATTCCAGCCAACTATCTGCATTAACTGTCTGTTGTATTATCAGCATGTCTGGCCAGACAAATATAAAGCTTCCGTCGTGTCCTCCAAATTCGGTGACTGGTGTCTTACATGAAATCATCATCATCACCTACAAAATCCTGGGAACAGAGAATTAATGCACATCATGAAATTCTCAAAATAAAAACTGATTAAACATAAGCACCTGCCACAAACACACGTCTACAGCTACAGTGCACTTCAGGTGACATCTATACAGCTACAGTGCAATTCAGGTGACATCTATACAGCTACAGTGCAATTCAGGTGACATCTATACAGCTACAGTGCATGCAATTCAGGTGACATCTATACAGCTACAGTGCAATTCAGGTGACATCTATACAGCTACAGTGCAATTCAGGTGACATCTATACAGCTACAGTGCAATTCAGGTGACATCTATACAGCTACAGTGCAATTCAGGTGACATCTATACAGCTACAGTGCAATTCAGGTGACATCTATACAGCTACAGTGCAATTCAGGTCACATGTAAACAGCTACAGTGCAATTCAGGTGACATCTATACAGCTACAGTGCAATTCAGGTGACATCTATACAGCTACAGTGCAATTCAGGTCACATGTAAACAGCTACAGTGCATGCAATTCAGGTGACATCTATACAGCTACAGTGCAATTCAGGTCACATGTAAACAGCTACAGTGCATGCAATTCAGGTGACATCTATACAGCTACAGTGCAATTGCGATAGCATGTCTAAACTGTATGTGACAATTTATTTATGATGATCCAACTTTGGTCTCCCATGTTGGGTGTGAAGCTATCTCATGGTCTTGTCTTGTCTGAGTGTTAGTGAAATTTCATAAACTGTCCTGTTCAATGTACCAGGCTAAACAAGGTATACTAAGTAGCTAACCCCAGTCACGCACTTGCCATGAGCAATGTTCCAGGCTAAACAAGGTATACTAAGTAGCTAACCCCAGTCACGCACTTGCCATGAGCAATGTTCCAGGCTAAACAAGGTATACTAAGTAGCTAACCCCAGTCACGTACTTGCCATGAGCAATGTTCCAGGCTAAACAAGGTATACAAAGTATCTAATCCCAGTCACTCACACTTCCATGAGCAAACTGTTTTTTTTTTCTTAATGTAAATTCTGGTGGAAAGTTCGTCCAGTATTGCGTGCACATCTGTTTCACAGATCTGGCTTATCTGTTAGTAGACTCTTGGTTCCTTGCCTCTCCGGCATATGTATTCTGACTTTGAAGAATGCCCCCAATTAGCTAACGGTTGGGTAGGCAGTGGGTCTTTTCTTGCTGTCGCCACAATGGCGCCCGGAACCAACATGGAGAACTCAGTGAACTCGGCTGAAGAAAGTACCCAAGTATCAAACCCCAGTCCCTCACACTGTCCATAAGCAAACTAGTATTCACCTACAATAATATCAGGACTTTGTGGTTATAGTTTTGGCTGAGGGTGAGGTAGGAAAGTATAAACAGATGAACAACCCCCACAATAACACTGGTATTGGGGCAACCTATACCTTGATGAACACATGGATCCTGTGGTGCCTGATCCACAGGCAGCAAGCACTCAGTGAACATATGACAGATGTAGGGAACAAAATCCATGCACTGTAATCGTCATACTGGGGCTTGACAAGATGTGTTGCTTCATGTGTTTGATACTTGTGTCTCCAAAAGCTGTTTGGGTGTGTGTGCCAAGACCCTATCTTATCATTTTCCTCTACCTTCTTGCCTAAAATAGTTCGCAGAACACTGTCAGACTAAATCAATAGGAATAAACTCACAGGGAGCAAGTACAGCTGGGATCTACCAGTCTTCAGTAGAAATTATCCTCGTCGACACACGTTTCGGCCCACGATTCCTAGACGTATTCGGAGGTGGGCCCTCCTGAGTTCATGAAGCTCAGGGCTGGTTCCCCGCTGCACGGAATTACCGGATGGTGTTTTACTTTCGACCAGAGACAAGACGACTTGGTGGTTTCGCAGAAGGTACTGTGAGATAAGAAGCCGCCACGGCAGCTTAATTAAAGCAGTCAGCATGCCTGGTCGACCGAGCGACAAGCTTACTTTGGTTTACCGGACAGATGTTGGACTTTTATTAGCAGTTGGCAGAGGAACACTGGTAGACAATTCGGACACGATGGACTTTCAAAGGGATGAGATACTCTTTTCGACTAGACACCTGGACCAGCTCACCGAGGCCCGTCCCCTACGTTGTTGCGCTGCGTCCAAAGCCAGCTAGAGGCCCTTTCGGCTGCCTCTCCCAGTTTTTTGAGTGTTCGTTTCCATTCATTACCGCGCAATCCTAGTTCTTTCACCACATTGTAGAGCGAAGTGGAAACGAGGCCTCTCGCTCCCACTTCGACGGCAAATACCCGTACTGTGTAAGCCTCGTTTCTCCTCAAACCTGCTGCTAAATCACTGTACTTCTCGAGCTTGTACAAATGATTCTCCTCCATACGCGACTCAAACGGGACCGTCAACTCAATCAGGATGAGCTGCCGTTTTTGCGCAGAATGGAGAACGATGTCCGGTCGCAGGCCGGTTTTACGGATCAACTCGGGGTACCGTTCATGGCCTGAATATTAATACACTTGTTAATCTGAATCTTCAAACTTTGTCTTCTCTGGTTCTCTTCTATCTTTCTGAGCCAGGTTTTGAAGATGGGCTGGGTGCGCATCTTGGGGGACTGGGTGCGAGTCTTGGGGGACTGGGTGTCTGTCTTGGGGGACTAGGTGCCTGTCTTGGGGGACTGGGTTTTTGTCTTAGGGGACAGGGTGCCTGTCTTGGGGGACAGGGTGCCTGTCTTGGGGGACAGGGTGCCTGTCTTGGGGGAACTGGGTGCCTGTCTTGGGGGACTAGGTGCCTGTCTTGGGAGACTGGGTGCCTGTCTTAGGGGACTATGTGCCTGTCTTGGGGGACTGGGTGCCTGTCTTGGGGGACTGGGTGCCTGTATTAGGGGGGACTGGGTGCCTGTCTTGGGGGACTGGGTGCCTGTCTTGGGGGACTAGGTGCCTGTCTTGGGGGACTGGGTGCCTGTCTTGGGGGACTGGGTGCCTGTCTTGGGGGACTGGGTGCCTGTCTTGGGGGAACTGGGTGCCTGTCTTGGGGGACTAGGTGCCTGTCTTGGGAGACTGGGTGCCTGTCTTAGGGGACTATGTGCCTGTCTTGGGGGACTGGGTGCCTGTCTTGGGGGACTGGGTGCCTGTCTTAGGGGACTGGGTGCCTGTATTAGGGGGGACTGGGTGCCTGTCTTGGGGGACTGGGTGCCTGTCTTGGGGGACTAGGTGCCTGTCTTGGGGTCTGGGTGCCTGTCTTAGGGGACTGGGTGCCTGTCTTGGGGGACAGGGTGCCTGTCTTGGGGGACTAGGTGCCTGTCTTGGGGGATTGGGTGCCCGTCTTGGGGGATTGGGTGCCCGTCTTGGGGGACTGGGTGCCTGTCTTAGGGGGGACTGGGTGCCTGTCTTAGGGGAATGGGTGTCTGTCTTGGAAGACTGGGTGCCTGTCTTAGGGGGAACTGGGTGCCTATCTTGGGGGACAGGGTGCCTGTCTTGGGGGACTAGGTGCCTGTCTTGGGGGACTAGGTGCCTGTCTTGGCTGACTGGGTGCCTGTCTTAGGGGGGACTGGGTGCCTGTCTTAGCGGAATGGGTGCCTGTCTTGGGGGACTGGGTGCCTGTCTTGGGGGACAGGGTGCCTGTCTTGGGGGATTGGGTGACTGTCTTGGGGGATTGGGTGCCTATCTTGGGGGACTGGTTGCCTGTCTTAGGGGACTGGGTGCCTGTCTTAGGGGACTGGTTGCCTGTCTTAGGGGACAGGGTGCCTGTCTTGGGGGACTGGGTGCCTGTCTTAGGGGGGACTGGGTGCCTGTCTTGGGGGACTGGGTGCCTGTCTTGGGGGACTGGGTGCCTGTCTTGGGGGACTGGGTGCCTGTCTTGGGGGATTGGGTGACTGTCTTGGGGGATTGGGTGCCTATCTTGGGGGACTGGGTGCCTGTCTTAGGGGACTGGGTGCCTGTCTTAGGGGACTGGTTGCCTGTCTTAGGGGACAGGGTGCCTGTCTTGGGGGACTGGGTGCCTGTCTTAGGGGGGACTGGGTGCCTGTCTTGGGGGACTGGGTGTCTGTCTTGGGGGATTGGGTGCCTGTCTTGGGGGACTGGGTGCCTGTCTTGGGGGACTGGGTGCCTGTCTTGGGGGACTGGGTGCCTGTCTTGGGGGACTGGTTGCCTGTCTTAGGGGGGACTGGGTGCCTGTCTTAGAGGGGACTGTGTGCCTGTCTTGGGGGACAGGGTGCGCGTCCTGGTATGTAATGTAGATGCTGGTATTTACACCCTCAGATATTCCACCTATCCATGGTTTGCATCACGTAAGTATCAGTCTGATTTCTCTTCTGACAGTTTCTTCGAGCAAGACAGAATCTACTGCTAGCAGCCTTCCATGACTTCTTGTTTCTTGTCTCTACTCCTGGAAAGCCTCACAGTGTCAGGGCAGGAAGAGATCTCTAGAACAGGCCCTTGTGTTCGCTTCATATATAGAACTTTTCAGTGTCTCTGATATTTCCGTGGTCTATATTCTGACCTGCAAGCACTTGGGGTCACAACCGGAAAGAGAAGGCCAACCAGAGAAATGAACGGAGGCGGGTGGTATCTGCACCAATGAGCCTCAAGGGCTCGAAATGCTGAAGAAGAAGAAGATATTCTGTGTGGTCGACCTCTGGGCCTGTAACCACTGTGTCTGTATAAGACTGCTCTCTGTGGTGCCCTGTCTGCTGCCAGTCTTGTTACTTATGCTGATAGGGCTGTGCTCTACAAACTCTTCAATGAAAAGGCAGGAACCCACTGAAACTTCTCCATATACAAAAATAACTATTTCAACTATTTCACACACAAGTCAATGATAAATATTGTAATTTATTCAGGTATATTACAGAATATTTTTTCCAACATTTTAAGGAAGTAATCGATAAACACGAATAAAGTAAAGTATTAAATGGAAAAATTTCCTCAGGGTCTAACAAACGTACTGAGTAAGGCATCCCGTGAACCCATTAGAATTATAATACAAAGGCAATAGGCAAATATGGTGTCAGAATGGATTTGAAAAAAGCAATTCTGTTAAAAACATAAACCCTTATATGCTGTTTTAGTAAATATATTCATATCCAGGCCTCCTAAAGACTGTAAAGCAAGAAAAGAATTCAACTAGTCTTCTCTGGAACAGGTCATAGCAGAAATGTCATCAACTAGTCTTCTCTGGAACAGGTCATAGCAGAAATGTCATCAACTAGTCTTCTCTGGGACAGGTCATAGCAGAAATGCCATCAACAAGTCTTCTCTGGGACAGGTCATAGCAGAAATGCCATCAACTAGTCTTCTCTAGGACAGGTCATAGCAGAAATGTCATCAACTAGTCTTCTCTGGAACAGGTCATAGCAGAAATGTCATCAACTAGTCTTCTCTGGGACAGGTCATAGCAGAAATGTCATCAACTAGTCTTCTCTGGGACAGGTCATAGCAGAAATGCCATCAACAAGTCTTCTCTGGGACAGGTCATAGCAGAAATGCCATCAACTAGTCTTCTCTAGGACAGGTCATAGCAGAAATGTCATCAACTAGTCTTCTCTGGAACAGGTCATAGCAGAAATGTCATCAACTAGTCTTCTCTGGGACAGGTCATGGCAGAAATGTCATCAACTAGTCTTCTCTGGAACAGGTCATAGCAGAAATGTCATCAACTAGTCTTCTCTGGGACAGGTCATAGCAGAAATGTCATCAACTTATCTTCTCTGGGACAGGTCATAGCAGAAATGTCATCAACTAGTCTTCTCTGGGACAGGTCATAGCAGAAATGCCATCAACAAGTCTTCTCTGGGACAGGTCATAGCAGAAATGCCATCAACAAGTCTTCTCTGGAACAGGTCATAGCAGAAATGTCATCTACTAGTCTTCTCTGGGACAGGTCATAGCAGAAATGTCATCAACAAGTCTTCTCTGGAACAGGTCATAGCAGAAATGTCATCTACTAGTCTTCTCTGGGACAGGTCATAGCAGAAATGCCATCAACTAGTCTTCTCTGGGACAGGTCATAGCAGAAATGCCATCAACAAGTCTTCTCTAGGACAGATCATAGCAGAAATGCCATCAACAAGTCTTCTCTAGGACAGATCATAGCAGAAATGCCATCAACAAGTCTTCTCTGGGACAGGTCATAGCAGAAATGCCATCAACTAGTCTTCTCTGGGACAGGTCATAGCAGAAATGCCATCAACTAGTCTTCTCTGGGACAGATCATAGCAGAAATGCCATCAACAAGTCTTCTCTGGAACAGGTCATAGCAGAAATGTCATCTACTAGTCTTCTCTGGGACAGGTCATAGCAGAAATGCCAGCTTAAGCAGCCTTTATGGGAATGGGTCACAAATGGAAATGCCAGGTTTGTGGCTTCTTGGGACAACAGGGTTAAGAACACAAGCTTGCAATCACTGACATCACAGAAACTCACCTTGTTTGTTTGCATTCTATCAGTTTTCATCAAAGTTGAATATGACCTACGAACAAATAGAATATAAACAGTCATAATAAATATACAAGAAAAATATATTTGAACTGAACATATTAATTAAATATCCATTCCACTGTATTAACCTGACCGAGATGAAGAAATAGTGGACTGTAAAACAGGACAGGGTCAAGGTTAACTTGGAAAGAGGGTACAAGATATTTTCGAAAGCAAAACGTGTGTGTGTGTGTGTTTGATTTTTCTGTCTAGGGTGTTGTGTGATGAATGAGGTATTTCAATCTGCAAAAAATTAATGTTGTTCCTCCATCACAAGGGATGAAGACCACTTCTCATCCAAACAAGTAATAATCAATGATTAAGAGAACGAAGGTGGCTGATTAGTCCAATATGAGCCTGGAAAGTTCTTGAGCAGTGCGGATTACAGGTGGAAGCGATACGGTTCTTTCTAGTCTGCCTCCGCTTCTCTGCCTGTGCAACCTCCGCTGCCTGGCAGGCCAATGCACCATGCCTGAGGGATGTACGCCATACAGAACAGTCTTGTGCAGCAGTCTCCCACGTTGCTGTGCTGATGCCAAAAGAATTGAAAGCAGCTTTGATAGTGTTCTTATAGCACTTTTTCTGTCCTTCCTGGGACCTCTTTCCTTGCTGGAGCTCGCCATAAAATACTTTCTTTGGGAAGAGATAGTCTGGCATGGAGGTTAGGTGACCAGCCCAACACAGCTAATAATTCTTCAGTATCGTGTGGATGCTAGGCAGGTTTGCCCTATCAAGAACCACAGTGTTTGGGATCTTATTTTGCCATCTGATTCTAAGCACCTTTCTGAGACAAGTTATATGAAACTGATTAAACTTTTTAGCATTGCGATGATACACAGTCCGCGATTTGCATGCGAAGAGCAGTACTGGAAAAAAGATGTAGAGAGCAGTCTATGTGTGAGATGCACATTTGATTCAATATGTACAGCAGCGTGGTAGCACTACAGAAATAAACATCTCACAGGGAAAAATGGCAATGTTACTGTAAGATGTGAAAATGACCATGCCACTGTAGGCAAAGAACCATGTAGCAGTCATCACACTTCCACATTCCAAGATTCACTTGTCCTCCTCTGGGCCCCACAGCCTCTTTTGGGTGGAAAATATTGACCTTTGTTTCCCATTTCAGTGCCTGCTTTGTAATTCTTTGCTCATGTCATTTCAGAGTGTACCCAATATATCTCAAGCCTCTTTGTCTTATTGCAGTCGATGCAAGTATTTGTCTAGACACTTCTCTTATCTCACTCTTTTTCATTTCATCCCATTTTAATTTCATGATTTGTCTCAAACATTTATTTTCAAATGCATTTAACTTCCGTTCCATATCTATGGTGGTTCTCCAACTTTCGCTGGCATAGGTTAGAAATGAAGTTTAGTCTTAGAGCTATAAAACTTGGACCTCCATATTTTTGTTAAGGCTTTTAAAGACTGTTGCTGCTTTGCCAGCGTGTATCATAATTTCCTTCGTTGTATCTCCTTCAGAGTCAAAATTGTTACCCAAATAGGTGAAATGGTCCGTTACTTTTATTAGTTTGTTCTCTAGCATGACATCTACATGATGTGTTGGTATCTTCAATACATTTGTTTTCTCATAACTTACTTGTAGTCCTATTTTTGATGTTGTAGATGACAAATCATCTGTTCTTTGCATGTCTTTCTATTTTTTTTTAACAACAATATCGTCTGCAAAATCTACATCTTGCAGTTGTCTATTCTCTACCCAATCAATGCCAGTATTGTCTTTGCAACATTTTTTTCATTACACAATCAATGGCTAGCCCAAACAACAAGGGAGGGAGATAGGTGTTTATCGCTTGTGTGATGTCCTGGTGGGTAAACTCTACATCTACTACTAAAGGGACAGTGGTTAGCAGTCATCTTAAGCTGCTGTATCTGCACCTTTTGCCCTTACATATTCAATTTTAGCACATCCCTAATTGGTTGCCTCTTATGTTGTGCTTGTTAGGGATCTATTCGAAACCTCCAAAATGGAGTCAATGAACCAACATGTGAATAATGACAGACAAAGCTCAAGTTCAAACACAGACAATGATTGAATAATACAGACATTAATGTGAAGTCTCTGACCTAGTTTCTGCCTGCTCCTGCTTCCTCCTCTCTTCCTCCTTCTCCCGAATCTTCTGCTCCTGCTGCACACGTCTCTGATTCTCCCGCTCCTTACTGTCTCGCTCCTCCCTCAACATCCTAAAGTCGGGTTTCTCTTCTGTTTTTGTTTTATTTAATCTGTTGACAATCTCGTTACTTCTTTTCTCTACTTTCACCTTTTTAACCTGAAAAAAAAAAATTAAACACAAACATCAGAAAAGAACAACAAAGACAGGAAATGCACAAAGTAAAGGACTTTTTTCCATGCCTCCAGGGCTAGATCGATATTTTATAGACCAATCGGCACCTGGTGGTTAATGTAGTCAAAATCACACCAGCCACCTTTGCCTCCCAGAACTTTACCTGGCACCTATTTAGAGCTGGGTTGACGTGGAAGCAAATGGTCATTTTTGAAAAACAGAAAATCTAGCAAATGCACAAAGTAGAGAGTTGTACATGTTTTAACTCTTTGAGTCCCAGGGGGTTTAGCATCACAGGCCCGGGGTAGTAAAGAAAGTAATAAAATCGGCGCATCATGCGTTCATTGGGCTTCTAGGTAGGAACCTATGAACGTATATGTTCCTTGGGACTCAAAGAGTTAAACAACTGTTCTGTGTCTTCTTCTTTTGTGGTCAGAAAAGGCTGTAGCCCAGTGTCATATTTTTCTGTATTTATCTTGACTGTGCTTCTTGGGGTGAGTGATTGTTTTGTGCGGTCAGTCTGGCAATCTCACTGACCAGTCATTGACCCTGTGGCCATGACTGAATGATTTTCGCCTGTACTTAAAAGTTTCAGCTGGAAATATTTTTAGCTGTGTCCACACTTAGATCTCTTTCAAACTTTGATTTGTAAATATAAACTAACAAGAGATCTAAGTGTCTGTTTTAATAATATTAAACGGATAAAAATGGATCGCTTTGAAAAATGTAGAATATAAAATTATGTATTCAACAGGGGTGAAGAAATAAGAGAAATGTCAGGGCAATGAATCAAAACAACAGTTATAAGTCAAAGGCTGCAGCACTATACTGGACAAATCCTGAGAAGAAACAAGCAGAGAATTACAAAAACTGGCATTACAGTGATAAATAAAAGGATCAAGGAAGTGAGACATCCAAAAGACTTAGTGCACTCAGTGATGGCGGGCTTGACAACCAGCGAGGAAAACCTAAAGCATAAACACAGACACCGGTGACTGGCACAAGGAAAACTCAGGTGTGGTGAAAAACCGCAAGTAAAAACTGGAAGCAAATTGGACACTAATTCTAACCAACAATACGCAGCTTTGACAGAACCGCAGCTCAACTTAGGAGCTGGTTAAAAGAAGCGAGAATTTTCTTTTTTTTTAACAACCACTAAGGCCAAGACCGCGGCGTCCGTGGCTAAGGCGTTGCGAGTCTGACTCGTAATCCAATGTACCGCGATCGAAACCTGCGTGGGCTGCGTGGATTTTTATCGTGGTATGGGACGTCGTGGGTCGACCCAGCCTCAAATGGGTACCAGGATGGGCTGTCCTGGGGAAGTAAAGACGGCCGGCGTAATGCTGACCACATTACCCACCGAGGGCCGATTGGTCTGTAAAAATATGGGTGCTTTTCCCATATGCCCGATGCACCTAGTGCGTGTAAAGGGATCTTTACTTTTTTTTTTTTTAAGGCCAAGACCAAGAACATCCAAAAGAAATCTGAACGTTGTTGACAGAGGCCAAAGCTGCTGGATTGGACTCCATCCATGATATTGAGCTGATTGCACAGGACAGAATAGAATGTAGGAATAGACTGTGAGCCCTTTGTGACATATAATGACACAATGGGAGAATGATGATAATTTTTTTAATGCTGGCACATGTGCATGGTCTCTCTGTATAAGGATAGTCAACGATATCTTCTTCTTCTTCCACGCTTCTGATTCTCAGGTATAGCATAATTTCTGTAACCTTCCTCGGCTAAGCTGCCCTAATGTCCTGCTCATCTCCTGCAGCTCCAACCACGCCCATGCAATTTATGCAACAATATCTACATAATGATCCATGTCCATAGCTGAAACCAGGGCTGTTCAACTTGTGGCCTGTGGACTACTGCCAGTTGTATTGCACTGAATGATCTTTGTATGCTCAAGCTTGGATCTCTGGCCCATGACAATCTTACTGTTCAACTGTTTGGCACCTGAGTAATCTCCCTTGAATAGCTCTGGCTTAAACAATGACCCAGGGAGCCATATTCACAACGATCCAGGGAGCCATACTCACAACTGACACAATGATCCAGGAGCTATTTTAACAACTTAAATAATGTTCCAAGTTCAAAGCCTAAGCAATCATCTATTCATAGCCTGAACAATCATATATGTAGCCATGTTAAACACTTAACATTCATATATGCAGCCATGTTAAAACTTAACAATCATATATGTAGCCATGTTAAACACTTAACATTCATATATGCAGCCATGTTAAACACTTTTAACAATCATATATGTAGCCATGTTCAACATTTAACAGTCAAATATGTAGCCATGTTAAACACTCAACAATCATATATGTAGCCATGTTAAACACTCCACAATCATATATGCAGCCATGTTAAACACTTTTAACAATCATATATGTAGCCATGTTCAACATTTAACAGTCAAATATGTAGCCATGTTAAACACTCAACAATCATATATGTAGCCATGTTAAACACTCCACAATCATATATGTAGCCATGTTAAACACTTAACAATCATATATGCAGCCATGTTAAACACTTAACAATCAAATATATAGCCATGTTAAACATTTAACAGTCAAATATGTAGCCATGTTAAACACTTAACAATCAAATATATAGCCATGTTAAACATTTAACAGTCAAATATGTAGCCATGTTAAACACTCCACAATCATATATGCAGCCATGTTAAACACTTAACAATCATATATGCAGCCATGTTAAACACTTAACAATCAAATATATAGCCATGTTAAACATTTAACAGTCAAATATGTAGCCATGTTAAACATTTAACAATCATATATGTAGCCATGTTAAACACTTAACATTCATATATGCAGCCATGTTAAACACTCCACAATCATATATGCAGCCATGTTAAACACTTAACAATCAAATATATAGCCATGTTAAACATTTAACAATCATATATGTAGCCATGTTAAACACTCCACAATCATATATGCAGCCATGTTAAACACTTAACAATCAAATATATAGCCATGTTAAACATTTAACAATCATATATGCAGCCATGTTAAACACTTAACAATCATATATGTAGCCATGTTAAACACTTAACAATCATATATGAAGCCATGTTAAACACTTAACAATCATATATGAAGCCATGTTAAACACTTAACAATCATATATGTAGCCATGTTAAACACTTAACAATCATATATATAGCCATGTTAAACACTTAACAATCATATATGTAGCCATGTTAAACACTTAACAATCATATATATAGCCATGTTAAACACTTAACAATCAAATATATAGCCATGTTAAACATTTAACAGTCAAATATGTAGCCATGTTAAACATTTAACAGTCAAATATGTAGCCATGTTAAACATTTAACAGTCAAATATATAGCCATGTTAAACATTTAACAGTCAAATATGTAGCCATGTTAAACACTTAACAATCATATATGCAGCCATGTTAAACACTTAACAATCATATATGCAGCCATGTTAAACACTTAACAATCATGTATGTAGCCATGTTAAACATTTAACAATCATATATGTAGCCATGTTAAACACTCCACAATCATATATGTAGCCATGTTAAACACTCCACAATCATATATATAGCCATGTTAAACACTTAACAATCAAATATATAGCCATGTTAAATATTTAACAGTCAAATATGTAGCCATGTTAAACATTTAACAGTCAAATATGTAGCCATGTTAAACATTTAACAGTCAAATATATAGCCATGTTAAACATTTAACAGTCAAATATGTAGCCATGTTAAACACTTAACAATCATATATGCAGCCATGTTAAACACTTAACAATCATATATGTAGCCATGTTAAACATTTAACAATCATATATGTAGCCATGTTAAACACTTAACAATCATATATGTAGCCATGTTAAACACTTAACAATCATATATGAAGCCATGTTAAACACTTAACAATCATATATGTAGCCATGTTAAACACTTAACAATCATATATGTAGCCATGTTAAACACTTAACAATCATATATGAAGCCATGTTAAACACTTAACAATCATATATGCAGCCATGTTAAACACTTAACAATCATATATGTAGCCATGTTAAACATTTAACAATCATATATGCAGCCATGTTAAACACTTAACAATCATATATGTAGCCATGTTAAACACTTAACAATCATATATGTAGCCATGTTAAACATTTAACAATCATATATGCAGCCATGTTAAACATTTAACAATCATATATGCAGCCATGTTAAACACTTAACAATCATATATGCAGCCATGTTAAACACTTAACAATCATATATGTAGCCATGTTAAACACTTAACAATCATATATGTAGCCATGTTAAACACTCCACAATCATATATGCAGCCATGTTAAACACTTAACAATCAAATATATAGCCATGTTAAACATTTAACAATCATATATGTAGCCATGTTAAACACTCCACAATCATATATGCAGCCATGTTAAACACTTAACAATCAAATATATAGCCATGTTAAACATTTAACAGTCAAATATATAGCCATGTTAAACATTTAACAGTCAAATATGTAGCCATGTTAAACACTCCACAATCATATATGCAGCCATGTTAAACACTTAACAATCATATATGCAGCCATGTTAAACACTCAACATTCATATATGCAGCCATGTTAAACACTCAACATTCATATATGTAGCCATGTTAAACACTCAACATTCATATATGTAGCCATGTTAAACACTGAACATTCATATATGTAGCCATGTTCACAACTTAAATGGTTCTATGCAGTTTCAGTCAATTAATCAGATTTCCGTATTATTCTCAAAAATTAAGATCAACTACAATGGATCTTGTTCATGGCCTGTCTTTGAATCTGGATGTAAACTTTCTCAGACTGCTATCTGTCAGTCTCTTGATACTGTCTTCCCACTTGTATTGCTGTTTGACTCTTGCTTGCCTGCCTTCACCTTTTCCTACTGTTTTCATAAGAGAAACCACCATGCTGGAGCAGGTTAAACGCTTGCCTGCCTTCACCTTTTCTTACTGTTTTCATAACAGAAACCACCATGGTGGAGCAGGTTAAACGCTTGCCTGCTGATTGGAAGGTTGTGGGTTTAGGTCCTGACAGAATCAAATTTTATTTTTTCCAAAAATGACCTTGACTCCTACGTTAACCTGGCTTTGAATGGGCGGAATCCATGAAATAGAACCTAGTCTGTATATCTACATGTTCAGACTCTGCTACACAAGCCCTGTGGAGATAATAGTTCTGAGAACAGTCTCTAGACTCAGCTGCAAAATGTGAGCTCAGACAAACTGATCATATTGTGTCAAATTCACCAATTAAATGTGTCTGTAACTTACATCTTTTTCTTTGTGGAAACCCACTTGACCCACATCCATGCTGGGTGTTTTCTTCAAGTTGCTCCACATCGTATAAACAACTTCCAAGTTGTTCTGTTTGTTCCCTGCGTTACAAGACATAAAACAATCACAGCCGGTTAAAAATGCATCACTTAATAAATCTGTGTAGTTTATTAGTAACTGCCTTAGTTTTTCTTCCTGTTTCCACTCCATAAAAAAGTACTGATTTGACATCAGAAATGAATTTTTTAAATTTTGGTAATAGTTTTAATTTCTTTTCACCTCCAAAAATTTTATAATGGTGTGAAAGCTTCTCTTGCCTTTTGTATTCGTATTTCAATGTTTCAATCAGTTCCACCATCTTTATCTACATTGCTGCACAAATAGGTATATGATCCATGTCTTGAAGTGGGATACCGTTAAAAGAAACATTACCATTTGCCTGATTTATTCTGCCTTTGTCTTTCCCTCATGGATTTTCATACCAAGCTGTTATGATCTCGCATCAAGTATATTTAATTTATCTTGAATCTGATTCCGGGTGTGGGACAGAATAGAAATGCCATCAGCAATATAAATAAGATTGAACATGTAAATGGGACCATGAACATATAAATGAGACTGAACGTGTAAATGGGACCATGAACATATAAATGAGACTGAACATGTAAATGGGACCATAAACAAATAAATTAGACTGAATGTGTAAATGGGACCATGAACATATAAATGAGACAACGTGTAAATGGGACTATAAAGATATAAATGAACTGTACCTTGAATGCTGTTTGCTTTCACAAGTTGGACACAGTCATCTATCACAGCCTGGGGAATGTCATCAATGGTCTCTCCCTAACAGAGGAGAGACAATGCTAAATGAAATATCTACAAAACTTAAATATTAAACTTGTCACTGTGGACCTTATTTCCCAAATTCAGTTTAAACTGCAAGTACTGGTTCCCTAATTTTCTGTTAACTACAAATGATTTAAAAGAAATGAGAAAATTCTGCAGTTGAGCAGACTTTTGGTCTCAGCACAAATGTGTTACTATTATTAGTCCCTGGTGAATACACACTCTGTTAACACAAACTCAATTTTTGGTCTCTTAGAATTTGTTGTGTGTATGTGTATATATATATAAAGTATCTAGGTACATGACCTAGCAAACGAAAAGGTTGCTGAAGGCTGAGGACATAAATCTAAAGCCATGTGGATGTGGAAAGCAATGGGAAACTACCACACTACTATTCCAAGAAACTCATGGAAGTCAAAAATGAGAAGGCATAGATCAGGAAGGAGGAGCAGGGGCCGACCAACACGAAGATGGTCACAGGATATAAGTGACTCCTTGAGTATGAAAGTGCATGAGGAGAGAGAGCTGGTGAGAGACGGAGTTTTTTTCAGGCAGACGGTGATGAGAGCGACATTCTGCAAAGGACCTGCTACACGATGATGATGATCCAGGTACATGGATAACATGTGATGGAAAATGTACTTTAGAGACAAAGAACAGGAAAGAACAGGCACAAGTGCAATATATAACACAAAGATACAACAGATTTGTCATGGTGTCATGGGAGGTTATAAAAGGAATTTGTGCATGCTATACAGAGCTAGTTTTAAGATAATGGCATTTATACACAAGACATAAATTTCTTTGAATGAGGCAAGGGCCCAAAGACAACTAATCACAAACATCAGAATGAGACAGTCATCACCGTTTGGGCATGATATGAAATGAGAGAATCTGAAATGTGACCAATGGAAAGATTTGCGCACAGAGAGAAAGAGAGAGAGAGAGAGAGAGAGAGAGAGAGAGAGAGAGAGAGAGAGAGAGAGAGAGAGGTAAGGCAGGGTAGATGATTGTTGATAGCCTTTTTGTGATGGCATGAAGGGGTGTGGCTATGGGCTGATGAATGCTGCTGGAGACAGCAGGCTGTGCAGAGGCATGAAGGCACTTGATGATGATGATGATATTTTATGAATATACATTACATACATGACATTTGTAACCATAACTTTTAAACATGTTATGAGGAATAAACACTTACTGGATGTAACCTCAAGTAGACGTGGGCTGAAGACAGCTTGTCCACATGAAACCTGTTCAACCCAGAATACACCACATTTGTTAGCTGTCACTGACATGTCACTCTACAAAACAGGAAAACATGCACAAGTACAATCAAAGGCTTTTACCAGTCTTTATCAACGGAGAACTACATACAACACAAACTATGAATGGAAAACCCAATGGACCAGACAACAGAGCTTCTTTTTTTTTTTAAAGCATAGTTTAATACAATCGTAGAAATTATTTCACAGATGTGATATCAGGGCTATAAGAAAAGTAGGCTGCACCTGTGGCTTAGGTGTTGCAAGGCAAAAACGCTTTATAATTCTGAAATGCCTGGTTCGATTCCAGCCGCAGACCACTCTGTGTTGATATTAACAGTGGTATCAAAAGGCAACCGATCAGAAAGTTATGGCAAACTACTGAACGTAAAACCATAAATGGTCAAAATATGCTGGGACGGGTTCTGAAAAGTTATGCAGAGGCTAAACGGCATGAGGAACCTGTGGCGCAGCACCTGCAAGTGGGCCAAAGTTAATATTTTGAGATCTTGTATTTTTCTGATTGCTACTTATGACTGTGAGTCATGCACACTTTTTCAATCTTGGAAGAAAAGATCGGAGCCTTTGAACTGAAATGCTACAGAAAGGTTCTTAGAATACAGTAGACCAAGATGAAGAAAGACGTCAACATCCTGCATGACCTAAACATCAAGGAGAACTGGCTCATAAACAGCATTCTCTCAAAAAGCTGAGATATTTTGGACATGTCAAGTACCATTGTGGTCTGGACAAAACTGTAATGCGAGTTTCCAGAAAATAAGGCAGATGCAAACCTTCGCGAAGATGGACACAAGATTTTGAAGATGCACTGGCAATAAAAGCACACAGGACTGGGCAACTGGCAGGAGGAAGAGACACTCTGAAAAGTTTACAAAAACTAACTTTCATGACAATTGTAAAAACACAGGCTATCATAACATACAAAATCTTCACAGGTAAACAGGAAGCAAACCTACAGCTGAGGACTAACTTCATATACTGTGAACACGGTTACATCCCCAAAGGGCAAAGAACTGCAACAGACTGGTCCATGCAGGGTTTGAGAATCTCTTGTGTGAGATTCAAAAACACAACAGGACTTGTCAAGGAAAAATACACATCTAATGAGATACACAATAAATACTGAACATGATGAATAAATGTTGCATAAACCTGGACTGATTTACTGATTTCTGAGTTAGGAATCGACATCATAGCACACCAGGCATACCCATAGATGCTCCGTCTCTTGCAGCAAATGACGTAAGTGTAGAAGCTAACTGTTCCCATAGCACACTGATTATACACACGCCGATCTCTTCCTCTCATCTGTCCCTCCTTGTCGTATCCACACTTACTTCCTCGTTCACACATTCTTGCCAATGTTTTTTCATCTAATCTCGTGTCTTCTGCCAAAAGTTGTTCATATATGGTCTTCAGAAAATTTCCCTTGTCCTATATGAGTGTTCCCGTAGCTTTCACTTTTTTAGCCAGAAAATCTGCTCTTTCCTGACAGTAACAAATAATGAAAGACTGAGGTCCTAAGAGTGTGAGCTTACACAAGAAAAGGTTGTGCTTCGTTGGATTCCCCACGTGGGTCCTGCAGCCCCAATGTGTGGAAGAAAGAACACAGACTGCCCACCACAACAACAAGCATGTTGTAAAACTTGATCAACTAGGGGTGTTCCCTGTGAAGTGAGAGTACATCTGCCTGAGAGACCAGAAACCAACAATCTGCATACAAATAAACCAGATTTGTAAACACAACTGGTGAGCGTGAAGAAGAAGAAATAGAACTTACAATAATAATCAAAGGCTGAGAGTGAAATGAGATCTGATGAGGCAGAGACATGGAGATACGTGAAATATAAAAAGTAAACAAAGTAACGGAGCCTTTTAATGCTACTGGCACATCAGACATATCAGGCTGGACTCATACTGTTGTAGAAAAATTGGCACTTGACGTGTGATGTGGATATCAGAGTAAAACATATGGGCAACATTAAAATGCTTTTAAATATATCACACTGGAGGGAAAATTAACAGGCGGGTGAGCAAGAGGTAGACAGTCAAGTGGGTAGATAAAAGATTGGTGAACAGCTGGTTGCTGGTGGTGTGCACAGTCAGATTGGAGATAGCTGCCAAACTTAAATGCAGAGTCTGTACCTGGCTGGTAAAATGTGCAGACTAAGGACAGCTGTGCACATCGTTTCTTTATTAAATGTGCAGACTAAGGACAGCTGTGCACATCTTTTCTTTATTAAATGTGCAGACTAAGGACAGCTGTGCACATCTTTTCTTTATTTTATAATTTTTTTAAGGGGGGGGGGGGGGGGGGGGGGGGGGGGGGGGGGGGGGGGGGTGGGGGGGGGGGGGGTAATTCTTCCCCTCTAGGATTGCATTCCGTAAGACTAAAGCCAAGTGACTCAAAGAGACACTGTTCAGATGAAAATCCAACAGGTACAAATCTTAGAGACCCTGTTCAACCGTATAACACTTATATTAAAGCAGGCAACAGCTGACAGCACCCAGAAGTCCCGCCTCAAGACACTTTCTCAGCTCTACACACCAAGAGATGCCGGGGTGAAAAGATATGAAGATCCGACAGACCGGCCGTGTCTGCAGCAGTTTGTGGGTAAAGAAGTATGGTTGTGGCAGAAATACAGAATGTGCTGCGTTCCAGAGACGCTAAGACAAAGGAGTCAAGAGATGATGAACTGCCTGCTGGAAATGTGTAGTTATTAAGCGAGGACAGGCATGCATAAACCGGTTCTCAGAGCAAAGAATGAAAATATACCATTGGACTCCCACTGGCTACAGTGAACATGGAGACAGCGGGATAGCTGCTGCATCAGAACCCAGATAGGTCAGACTGATATGATAGGATGTAGATTCAACAGACAAGTAACCCAACAGTTACACAGTGACCTACAGTTCAACGTGGGTTGGTAATATTCCATGCACATCCACATGCAAATATACCACGTACTGTGCAACATCAATAAACAAAACAAAAGCAAGATTGAAAAAAACAAACTGAAGATCATGTTAACTTACCACACATCCTCTGGCCAGCCCCATCTGATCAACTCCTCATCTGTTTTTGTTTAGAATGAATCGTGTTATTTATAATTAATTAAAATATATTTACTTTATCACCATACATCTGCCTACTTAACAGTACATTTACTGAAGCCATAATTATGGTATTGTAACTTTACTATAACATTTTACGTAGCTTACAACTCAATATTAACCAGAACTATTTCTACAACTTGTCATCGTATGTCGAGCCAATAAGAGCTACGTTTTGCCAGAATCTGAAATCAGGTCAGTGTTCTTGTCTCAGTCCATCCATGCAAGAATTTTTCTAATTGTCTTCAATTTTCTCTTTTTCTTTCTGCAGCTGAAATTGGCCTTAATGGATTCTGGTAATTTCTGTCCACAGTTTACAAAATACATTTCCTAGCAATATCCCGACTTCCTTTTTGTTGTCTCTCTACTTACTTCTTTGACATCTCATATATTTTGGATGTTCAATTTTCACCATGTAGTCTTGTGTGACCAAAGTCAATTGTTTTTCTCATTTCATTTCATAGCAAACTTAGTACTCACATATTTTTAGAATCTTATAAACTAACCCTATCTGTGGTTCCTCCATCAATTATTATGAGGACAATGATGGTGATCAGTCTAATTTCAAACTGGATAGATCCTATGCAGACAACAGATGGATGTGACAGTAAATGTGGGATCTGCAAACAACAGATGGATGTGACAGTAAATGTGGGATCTGCAAACAACAGATGGATGTGACAGTAGAGGTGGGAACTGTCAAAAACAGATGGATGTGACAGTAGAAGCGGGTACTGCCAACAACAGATGAATGTGACAGTAGAGGTGGGATCTGCCAACAACAGGTGGATGTGACAGTAGCGGTGGGATCTGTCAACAACAGATGGATGTGACAGTAGAGGTGGGATCTGCCAAAAACAGATTGATGTGACAGCAGAGAAGGGATCTGCCAACAACAGATGGATGTGACAGTAGAGGTGGGAACTGTCAAAAACAGATGGATGTGACAGTAGAAGCGGGTACTGCCAACAACAGATGAATGTGACAGTAGAGGTGGGATCTGCCAACAACAGGTGGATGTGACAGTAGCGGTGGGATCTGTCAACAACAGATGGATGTGACAGTAGAGGTGGGATCTGCCAAAAACAGATGGATGTGACAGCAGAGAAGGGATCTGCCAACAACAGATGGATGTGACAGTAGAGGTGGGATCTGCAAACAACAGATGGATGTGACAGTAGAAGTTGGATCTGCCAACAACAGATGGATGTGACAGTAGAGGCGGGATCTGCCAACAATAGATGGATGTAACAGTAGAGGTGAGATCTGCCAACAACAGATGGAATTGACAGTAGAGGTGGGATCTGTCAACAACAGATGGATGTGACAGTAGAGGTGGGATCTGCCAACAACAGATGGATGTGACAGTAGAGGTGGGATCTGCCAACAACAGATAGATGTGACAGTAGAGGTGGGATCTGCCAAGAACAGATGGAATTGACAGTAGAGGTGGGATCTGCCAACAACAGATGGATGTGACAGAAGAAGTGGGATCTGCCAACAACAGATGGATGTGACAGTAGAGCTGGGATCTGTCAACAACAGATGGATGTGATAGTAGATGTGGGATCTGCCAACAACAGATGGATGTGACAGCAGAGAAGTGATCTGCCAACAACAGATGGATGCGACAGCAGAGAAGGGATCTGCTAACAACAGATGGATGTGACAGTAGAGGTGAGATCTACCAACAACAGATTAATGTGACAATAGAGGTGTGAAAAGGGCGCACTCAGGTGGTAAGTCCTCTGACCTGGTAAACCTTTCAAACAGTCATGACCGTTGTGCGTGACCGAAAAAGCACATCCTTTAAGAGGATGACCCTGTTAACCAAGATCTTGCGGTTCTGGCACAAAACACAATGGATCTAGGAGACCTCAATTTTTAAAAAAACCAAGCCTAAAGTGGATCTACATGCTGAGAGGCTAATTGGCTATGAAATGGGCAGTCGTGAATGTGGACATCTGGTCAGCGGTAGAGGTGGCGCCAGGCGTATGGATTCCATAAGGACATCCAATGCCTCTTCCCATGCAAGCAGGCCTTACTAGGGTAACCGGCTACTTTCTGCTATGGAATTACCCTTACTTAACAAAACAAATAGTTTTCTCACATGTGGTTGTGGTATTCACAAAGCTGGATCCTTTCCAGCGCTACAGTGTGTGTGTACTGTTTTATCTACAGTGTATGTGTGTGTACTGTTTTATCTACAGTGTATGTGTGTGTACTGTTTTATCTACAGTGTGTGTGTGTACTGTTTTATCTACAGTGTGTGTGTGTACTGTTTTATCTACAGTGTGTGTGTGTGTACTATTTCATCTACAGTCTGTGTGTTTACTATTTCATCTACAGTCTGTGTGTGTACTGTTTTATCTACAGTCTGTGTGTACTGTTTTATCTACGGTATGTGTGTGTATATATACTGTTTTATCTACAGTGTGTGTGTAGTTTTGTCTACAGTGTCTGTGTAGTTTTATCTACAGTCTGTGTGTACTGTTTTATCTTCAGTGTGTGTGTAGTTTAATCTACAGTGTGTGTGTGTATACTGTTTTATCTACAGTGTGTGTGTGTACTGTTTTATCTACAGTGTGTGTACTGTTTTATCTACAGTGTATGTGTGTGTACTGTTTTTATCTACAGTGTGTGTGTGTGTACTGTTTTATCTACAGTGTGTGTGTGTGAACTATTTCATCTACAGTGTGTGTGTGTGTGTGTGTGTGTGTACTATTTCATCTACAGTCTGTGTGTGTACTATTTCATCTACAGTCTGTGTGTGTACTGTTTTATCTACAGTCTGTGTGTACTGTTTTATCTACGGTATGTGTGTGTATATATACTGTTTTATCTACAGTGTGTGTGTAGTTTTGTCTACAGTGTCTGTGTAGTTTTATCTACAGTCTGTGTGTACTGTTTTATCTTAAGTGTGTGTGTGGTTTTATCTACAGTGTGTGTGTGTATACTGTTTTATCTACAGTGTGTGTGTGTATACTGTTTTATCTACAGTGTGTGTAATGTTTTATCTACAGTGTGTGTGTACTGTTTTATCTACAGTGTGTGTGTACTGTTTTATCTACAGTGTGTGTGTACTGTTTTAGCTGCGCCAAGGATGCCCCAACAGCCGACATCTCTTGGTAGGGTGCAGTACTACTGTTCTTTTGCTTTCCATGAGGGTCTGGGGTCAGAGGTAATAATGTAGTAAAACATAACGATTACTTACTCTCATGTTTGTCAAACCCCATGAACAATGTGTAAGGTGGTGACACAACTGGAAAAAAAATTAAAGATATTGTGACAAACTGTCATAGATTTAATAACAACAAACACATTATGAAACTGAGGTACCTCAATGCTTAGACACTGGCCTATTGGTCCAAAGGCTTTGGGTTAAATCCACATTTTGAAATAAATTCTACATGGGGTATACTTAAACAGACAAGAAGCTTGGAAATCCATGGATCAATACCTTTACCAAGATAGAAAGTTCCAAAAGCCTACTGTTGGAGGGATCAAATACAAACAAATATGTGGTCTCGTTTTTTTTCCCTTCTATTTCGGACTAGCCTTTCTAGGTCTTTATCATTCAACTATGATTTCAGTTTTGTGTGTTAAATTTTTAGCTGAGTCAAGACCTGATCCCGCAGCTCTCAGGACATTCCCATTTTATGCTCTATCCTCATCTTCAGTTTCAACTGCCAGTTAAGAGTTCTAATTCTGATGGCACAAATAGAAGTTTGACTATAGTATAGTCTATATATTTTCTTCGTTATCCATCTTGTCTTTCCTCTGTTCACTGGCTTTAAACTATGGTGAGAAGTTCTGGTTTATCATCCACTTTTAGACTTTAGTCCTGTTCCACAACTTGAGTTTTGTATGCATATTCACATCCATTTTAATTTGTAAAGATCTGGCTTATTTGTAGGCAGAGTACTGGTTCCTCACCTCCAGAAATGTACTCCCTTATTCCTACTTAAAAGGAAACATACTCCTGAATTAGTCAGCTGTTATGACATGTTTATTAGGAGGCAGTGGGTCTATACCAACGCCCCCCCCCCCCCCCTCAATGAAGCCCCAAAACCATTACGGGAAGTCTTTCCTCTGATTTCAATTATTATTTCAATATTTGCAGTTAAAAGTTAGAGCTACCCACACACAGTAACTGTAGTAACAGTAACACGCATATAGTCTTTCCACTGTGCAGTCTTAGTGCGCTGATATTACTAACAGTAACAGAAGTACTAATTAAAAATATCTTTCAGTGCTTTATCATTTATAGGGGAATAAAAAAAATATTCTTAAGCATCTCTTTACCCTTAGGGCTGACTCTGCCACTAGCACGATTTTCGGCTCTCCTCCAAACTTCTACCCCCGCATTATGGCGGCCTGAAATATCCTTACAGGGCTCAGTCCAATAAAAAATATGTGAACTTCCGGCGACGAACGAATCACGGCAAAACTAGGATCGGCTTCGTATAGCGAAACAAATGCTCTAACAAGGTCTCAGCGATATGTCAATTGCGGACCTGTTTCTGTGACTATGCCTCACCGCCGCCACGCGTGGCGCGGATGGGGGCTAAACTACATGGCTGGGACTCACGAGCAGCAGCTACCGCATCTCCTGCAACTTCCTCCAATTAATTTGCTCGTGAGTCCCAGGCATCTAGTTTAGCCCCCCATCCGCGCCGCGCATAGCGGTAAGGGGGATACTGTCGGCGGCAAGTGTAACCAAAAAGTGCATGCCAAAAAGTTTGAGGACAACAACGACGCTAATCTGCGTCGGCGCATGTTGTCTCCCCGCCATGTCGCTTTTATGGTCTGCAGAAACTCTCGAAAGTGTCAACGGTCGCTATTATCGTCTGAAGTGTTGCGTCTCTTAAAATTGTCAGGTAATCAGAAACAATAAGAAACAGGTCCGCAATAAACATATCACTGAGACCCTGTTAGAGCATTTGTTTCGCTATACGGATTCGTTCATTGCCGGAAGTTTGCATATTTTTAATAGGACTGAGCCCAGTAAGGATATTTGTTCAGCCCGGCCGGCGGCGCCATAATGCTGAGGTAGAAGTTCGTAGGAGAGCCCGATTTTCTCTGAACGTCCTCTAGTGGCCTACAGACATGACCGTAACCCCAAGGACATATCTTAATCAAGAGTAGTTACTGCCGGCGTCAAGAGTCCCACTTCAGCACAGTCTCATGCCACAGACCTGATGCAGGACTTGTCCATATGAGGTGCTGGGGAGTTTGGAATTTCCGAATGCCACCTTTCATATATGTGAGGCATTCTTATTTTACTGTAGGAGCCTAGTAATATTCTTGAGCCGCAATTTCATTTACTCCATCAACTGCAAGAGATGTGGCATAAAATACATTGGTGAAACGGGTCTACGACTGGCTGACAGACAACATCTTTTTTTTAGATGTGCAGAATGGTGCCCTGAAACCAGTACCATTGCACTTTAATTTCTAGGATCACCAAGGTGTCCACGGCATGGAGGGGACAGCTATCAAATCTAGCCACTCCAGCGACAGAGGCCGCAAGTCTCTTGACTTGAAAATCGCTTTAACATCCTCTGTCACTGTAAACATAGACCATGACATGACATGATGATAGTGATAGCTGATATATTAGCTACTACGGTGTTCGGCAATTTGCTGTCATTTCGGGAATTTCAGTTACCAGGTAACCGTTCAAAACGTGTTTGGGAAATTTCGGCTGGTTTTGGGATGGGTCCTAATCTCTTATGAAATTTTGCGATCGGTGTGATTTTGACCAGCTATAAATAGCTGAAAACGGCGGGAACGAACCCGATTAACAGCACATGCCTACGACAGCCTGACGTGCTCTGTTTTTCTGTTACATCAGTTTGATTGAAAATAGCGGTAAATATTCAAGGTTGGCTTTAGGCTTTAACATTACCAGACATGGTAATGCTAGTTATTATTGAATTCTCCATCCAATTTTACATTTGTGTATAAAATTTCTTTCTTATCTGTGGCTGTTTCGATTTACAGTGACATTTTTCATGCAATCGCTATTATGTGGCTGTGTCTGAGAAAAATTGTCTGCCATCTTGTCCAATGAAAACAAAGCCAAAACGAAAGTTGTGCAGTTTGGTTGCGCAGAGAAAACTTGTTTCTCAGACACAAGTTTTAGCAGCTGTTTTTTACATCTCATCTCCACAAAAACCTACATATCTCAGCTCAGAAATGACATACAAGCCTACATGAGGTACCATTGGAAAGAGATTGTTTACAGCTATCTAACTGTGCTGGTTTTATTGGTGTTGAAAAATTTGACTAAAGTACCTACTTTAAACCATAACAGTTCTTAAATAATTCAAATTCGTTTCTGGGAGGTGAGTTTTAACTGTTAACATATTAATAATTAACAGCTGTTTGTTTACATCTCATTTCCATAAAAACCTAGATATCTCGGCTTAGAATTGACATACAAGCATAATTTAGGTACTGTTGGAAAGAGATTGTTTACAGCTATCTAACTGTATTAGTATAGTATAAGTATAGGAGCATTTTGAAAATTTGACCAAATCCTAGATATACAATACCGTCTCAATACGTGAGAACCGATAACCGCAACTGATGATTTTAATCAATAGGAAGACAATATATTATAAAAGAAACAACACACTACAAATGTTTTCCACAAGTGTGTCTGTGTATATATCTGTGATGACATCCTGACGATAAAAACATCTTACCATTACTAATAAAATAAAACACCATGTTTGATGTTTCAGTTACTTCCAGCACCCAGAAAACGCAACCGGAAACGCAATTTTGCTTCACATCGATTGCTATTTGTTGTTATTTTAGTTTGGTGTTATTTCATGTAATTTTAATTAATTGTGTATTCAATTATCTCCACAAAACAATTTATATATAACTTTAAAAGAAAAGTGCATTTTTATTTTGAAGAAAGTTTCCTTAAATAGCTGGTATAATATCAAATAAAGTTTCTGACAATGACTGCTCCCTGTAACTCTCTTAAGGCGAGAAACACATTTTTCTTTGTTAACATCATCAAGCGTCGCACTGAGTGACATAGATCTTCATTGTCTGAAATGAATAAAGTAACATACATTTTTGTATTGTTTGAAATGAAGCATTGTTTGATTGTTTCTGTGTCAGCTTCATACAGATTTTACTTCTCTCTCTCTCTCTCTCTCTCTCTCTCTCTCTCTCTCTCTCTCTCTCTCTCTCTCTCTCTCTCTTCCTCTCAACCGCCCTCCCTTTCTAAACGAATTCGTGAACTTAAGGTTCTTATTATTTTGGTTTATCATTGCATAATTTAACATGGCTTGAGCCTCTCCACCAACCATATAAAAGAAATTTTTTAAAGCGGTTTTCGATACGCCCTCCCTTCCCCGAACACCGCTAATGTTTACTCAGTGGCGGATCGGATACCTTGGAACACAGGGTTTAACCATGTAGCCAGGGGAATGGGCATTGTAAAGTAACAACGCCTACCCGCTACTTGAAGTACACAGTGTAGATGGTTCAAGCTCCATAATTTGATTGTGCTAAATTGTTGATGTCGCCAAACCCAGACCGATGGTTATTCATCATTATCAAGTACCTTGCCGACTGGCGTTGACTATCATGCCTATCTGCAGTCTGTGATCATCAACAGCATGTATCAACTGGTATGCAGACAGCACTCCATTCCGTGACAGAACGCTGTGCAGAATTGTCTTGCCTTGCCACGACCATTGCCTTCCACATTTGCTGTTATTAATTTTAGCAACAGTCTCTCTGATTAAATATAAGAAATAGAGTACTTAAAAAGTATGTTGAACCATCGCTGTTGTATGGATGTGAATCTTGGAGTGTGAGTCAGCAAATTAAGAACTTGGATGCAGTGGTTTTTTGGGAGGTATGCTGCAAAGGCCTTGGTCAAGCAGTGACTAAAGGTCGCCTGGACCTTTAATAAAGTGAAAAATATACAACTATAAAAAATGAAGCAGCCAATGTTCTTCGGTCACGCGGTGCGAAGAGGGGCATTGAAAAACATCGTGATGACTGGACAGATCAAAGGTGACAGAAGCAGGGACAGCTCAAAGGTGACAGAGGCAGGGCAGATCAAAGGTGACAGAGGCAGGGCAGATCAAAGGTGACAGAGGCATGGACAGATCAACGGTGACAGAGGCAGGGACAGATCAAAGGTGACAGAGGCAGGGCAGATCAAAGGTGACAGAGGCATGGACAGATCAAAGGTGACAGAGGCATGGACAGATCAACGGTGACAGAGGCATGGACAGATCAAAGGTGACAGAGGCATGGACAGATCAACGGTGACAGAGGCATGGACAGATCAACGGTGACAGAGGCATGGACAGATCAAAGGTGACAGAAGCAGGGACAGCTCAAAGGTGACAGAGGCATGGACAGATCAACGGTGACAGAGGCAGGGCAGATCAAAGGCGGCAGAGGCAGGGCAGATCAAAGGTGACAGAGGCATGGACAGATCAAAGGTGACAGAGGCAGGGACAGATCAACGGTGACAGAAGCAGGGACAGCTCAAAGGTGACAGAGGCAGGGACAGATCAACGGTGACAGAGGCAGGGACAGCTCAAAGGTGACAGAGGCAGGGACAGATCAACGGTGACAGAGGCAGGGACAGATCAACGGTGACAGAGGCAGGGACAGCTCAAAGGTGACAGAGGCAGGGACAGATCAACGGTGACAGAGGCAGGGACAGATCAACGGTGACAGAGGCAGGGACAGATCAACGGTGACAGAGGCAGGGACAGATCAACGGTGACAGAGGCAGGGACAGATCAACGGTGACAGAGGCAGGGACAGCTCAAAGGTGACAGAGGCAGGGACAGATCAACGGTGACAGAGGCAGGGACAGATCAACGGTGACAGAGGCAGGGCAGATCAAAGGCGGCAGAGGCAGGGCAGATCAAAGGTGACAGAGGCATGGACAGATCAAAGGTGACAGAGGCAGGGACAGATCAACGGTGACAGAAGCAGGGACAGATCAAAGGTGACAGAGGCAGGGACAGATCAACGGTGACAGAGGCAGGGACAGATCAACGGTGACAGAGGCAGGGACAGATCAACGGTGACAGAGGCAGGGACAGATCAACGGTGACAGAGGCATGGACAGATCAAAGGTGACAGAGGCAGGGACAGCTCAAAGGTGACAGAGGCAGGGACAGATCAAAGGTGACAGAGGCAGGGACAGATCAAAGGTGACAGAGGCAGGGACAGATCAAAGGTGACAGAGGCAGGGACAGATCAAAGGTGACAGAGGCATGGACAGATCAAAGGTGACAGAGGCAGGGACAGATCAACGGTGACAGAGGCAGGGACAGATCAACGGTGACAGAGGCAGGGACAGATCAACGGTGACAGAGGCAGGGACAGATCAACGGTGACAGAGGCATGGACAGATCAAAGGTGACAGAGGCAGGGACAGCTCAAAGGTGACAGAGGCAGGGACAGATCAAAGGTGACAGAGGCAGGGACAGATCAAAGGTGACAGAGGCAGGGACAGATCAAAGGTGACAGAGGCAGGGACAGATCAAAGGTGACAGAGGCAGGGACAGATCAAAGGTGACAGAGGCAGGGACAGATCAAAGGTGACAGAGGCAGGGACAGATCAACGGTGACAGAGGCAGGGACAGCTCAACGGTGACAGAGGCAGGGACAGATCAAAAGGTGACAGAGGCAGGGACAGATCAAAGGTGACAGAGGCAGGGACAGATCAAAGGTGACAGAGGCAGGGACAGATCAACGGTGACAGAGGCAGGGACAGCTCAACGGTGACAGAGGCAGGGACAGATCAAAGGTGACAGAGGCAGGGACAGATCAAAGGTGACAGAGGCAGGGACAGATCAAAGGTGACAGAGGCAGGGACAGATCAAAGGTGACAGAGGCAGGGACAGGTCAAAGGTGACAGAGGCAGGGACAGATCAAAGGTGACAGAGGCAGGGACAGGTCAAAGGTGACAGAGGCAGGGACAGGTCAAAGGCGGCAGAGGCAGGGCAGATCAACGGTGACAGAGGCAGGGACAGATCAACGGTGACAGAGGCAGGGACAGATCAAAGGTGACAGAGGCAGGGACAGATCAAAGGTGACAGAGGCAGGGACAGCTCAACGGTGGCAGAGGCAGGGACAGATCAAAGGTGGCAGAGGCATGGACAGGTCAGCGGTAGAAGAGGCGGGAACAGATCAACGGTAAAAGAGAGAGTGACAGGTCAAGAGAGACTATGCTTGATGACATTGCGGAATATCACCAGTGGAATTCTATCATTTTGAATAAAGAATTAAGAATCGACATAATATCACTAGGGACACTCCCATAAACCCCCGTCCCTATCTTCAGCAGAAAGCGAATAGTTCAATTCCGATGGTCCCAGTAACTGTTTGACTGTAGATCCATCTCACCTTTCCCTTGAGTGTTGAGCGTCGGTCAGACTGGTTTCACCTAAATATCTATAAACGTCCTATTTGTGTATACATCTTTTTTTTTTTAAATAAAATGTTTATTTGTCATTTAGCACATAACGATAATTATTATTTTTATTACTCGCACGTAAAAAAGACGTAAGCACCTTAAGGCCACTAGTCCCCTTCCTGTAAATGTAAAAGGGGCGATACCTCCCCCCCCCCTCACCCCTCGCCCCATTGCGATAGCATCCCTGCGTCTAAGTAAATTTACATAAATTCCCACTTTGATGGGAATTTTAAGATATGACGAAGCAGTACAGCGTGCTGGAGAACTAGCAATGGACTAAAATCTACCAAAGCTTTCTTATTAGTATTTGAAAATTGCGGGTGGGGGGGGGGGGGAAGGAAGAATATGAGAAGAACGTTTTAGTCCTCTCTACACTGAAAACTTGTCATTAGGTGGTGTAACAGGCTGGTCTGGGATAGGTTTAGCCTGTTAATAATTTTCGTTTTGCTGCTCTTGAGTAATAAAACTGGCAGGCTTGGATATCATTACTCTCTGGAAGTTGCCAGCGAGTCACGGTGGTTCGGGAAGGTTGTAAAAGGCCCATCGCAGCAGAAAAACGCTCTCTGAGCTTTCTTGGCGTTTTGCTCGTTGGTTAGTGGGTCGGCGGTGGCGAGACGAGAAATATGTAGTTCTGACTTTTCGTTGCGGAACCCCACAGGTTTTTAATGCAATGTGGGTTCATGGGACTGAGTCGAGAGATGGGCTGGCTAGCTGGTTCAATGTTGGGGTGGTACGTTCAGTGGGAAGACTGTGTTGGGTCTAGATTCCCGTGTGAATTGCGATTCAGAGTAGGACTTGTAGTTCGTGCACGTGGTCTGTCCTGGTGCTACCTATGTAGTTATATGTGTATAGTTATATGTTACCCAACAATTATGTTATTCGCTAAGGAATGTTTTGTGTCTATTGTTCACATACGATTCCTATTGTTCATTTACATCATTATATCTTTCCTTACGTCGATTGTGGGTGTAACACTTCATTGCAACAGTTGATTGAACAAAAAAAGTTTGTACTTGTTGATGTACATTTTTTATTATTAGGTTGGTGCATCTGGTTTTACTGTCACTGCTAATTAGACTTCATACAGAGCATATCCTGTCAGGGCTAGGGCACCATAGATCTTAGTCCCCGTTTAATAAAATTTGATTTTTTTGTAACTAAGGCAGCTTGGGCGTGAGTTTCTGCGTCCACACAGCACAACATTCTTTGCTGGATCTCCTATAGGGTTGGAGTAGAGATAGACTTAAGGAGTAGATTT